TTGTTTACAACGATTCACAGAAACATGCGGGGAATCCCTAGCGTTGTTGAGTTTAAGTTTAAAGAAATCCCCAACCATAGTTACTGTGGCTGTGTTCAGTGTGAGTGAACATTAATCTACCAATCTATAACAACAATGCCTAAAGTGATATCGTGTCTTGTGTCCCAGTGGATAAAAAGTTATCCCGAACAAAATTTAAATGGAAAATGGAAAATACGAATTTGTTTTATCGTCTCAGAATTAAATTTTCATCTGTTAGAAGATCCATGGCTAACTTTTTTAATTATTCTTTTTTAAGATAATGTGTGAGAGGAAGAAAATAAATAGAACAACATGTGAAAAGTGCAAAACATATACAAAAATGTAATAGAAATAGATTGATAACTATAAGAAAGGTATATGTTTGCATAATTCCACACATTTTTGCATATTTTGAATAAAAAGCTTGCATATTTATGCGCATATTTCCTATAATTTGACTGCATAAAAATCCGAGCTCTATTGATTAGATAGCTGCAGCAAGAGAGAAAAGAGAAGAACAAAGAGGGAAGAGACGTTAGATTATCGATCGGTTTTATGCAAGTAAAGCAGCATCTGTGTTCACGACTTAGCGTCGCAAAAACCCGGTCCTAATCTAAAACGCCTATAATTAAATATAATATAATAAACGCCTTAAAGGCCGATTTACATGAGACGAGCGAATGCTCATTCTATCCCCACTCTATCATATTCTTTTAGTGTAAACAGATGTAGAGCATTCCTTTGTTGTTCTGTCTGTGTTCTCAAAGATTCTATGGAATATTCCAGGAATGTTCAATCGCTTGATGTAAACGGCATTAGAGCGTGCGAACAAATGTTTAAAGCGTTCTTGCGTGTTCAGACGTCCTCGCTCATCGGAGCGATCTCTTCAAAGCGTTCTTGGGTTCTAGCGGTTTGAATGCATCATATATATACTATCTCCTATATCGCTGACTAAGGCAGCAAAAGAGTGTAAACACTAGAGTGCAGATATATATATATATCTGTCTCTGTCGTGCCCCCGTCTACACAAGAGACATGCGTGAACACGTGGTGAGTACGCTTTTATCTTATTGGACGGTGNAATTTTTCTATTTAATTTTCTAAAAATCCCTAGATCTCTAGTTACTTTTAATACCAACCTAATTTTTTTTCCCCCAAACTTTGGTTGGTATCCCCCCATATACCTAATACATTGAGGCGTGACGTCACCGCAGGATTGGCAGGATTAACTTCCGGTCTAGAACCGGCATTCTTACACTACTGATATGTTTAATCACAAATACTACGTGACTAAAAATTATGACGAATCATTTAAAAATTTCTGGTCTAAACCCATAAATGGCTAAGATATATATATGCCTTCGCAATTTTTAAACATTTTCTTAAATATTTTCGATATGGTTTGTCGTATTAAACTTATGTTCTCGTTGTCATTACATCACATTCTTTGTTCATATTTAACAAATAATAATCCTTAAATTAAAATAAATAACGTTAAGACTTACTACAACCAACGCACACCGATAAAAATCACGAACACTACTATCCGTGCTGAAAGTCAAGGCCTCTCACTTTAGACATCGATATCTTCGCAACCGCTTGATGAAAAAGATTGCGGTAAAGGTTGTTGTAATTACTAAACATTTCTACGTATCATTGAATGTGAATTTGAATTTTCGGCTCCGCGGTTTTCTTTTTATCGCGAAGTAAATGAAAAAAGTACCCGATTTTTGAGTGTGCCGCCAACTGTCCACTTTGCGATTTTTTCATTTGAAAATATATTGTATTGGTGAACAATTGAAGATTGATGAGTAGTATAAAAATGAGAGTTCTGGAGCGGAAGTTAATCCCCCAATCCCCCTGTGACGTCTGCGCATGCGCGCGCAGGAAGTGACGTCACAGCGCGGGAAATTTGAAATGCATGTGGCGCCATCTGGTGGTGTTTAGTGAAACTAAAAGCATGTCATGTTGGTTGCCTGTGTGTAGTGAAACTTAAACCTAGCGGTGGGTGGTGGAACTAACGCTATGTTGACTATCTGGTGGTGTGTAGTGAAACTAAAACATGTCATGTTGGTTGCCTACGTCGTGAGGCGTCACCTAGCGGTGGGTGGTGGATGTTGGTTACCTGCTTCACGGGACGCCACCTAGCGGTGGATGGTGGAAGTAACGCCAAACGGCGGTGGATAGGTAAGCGGGGGGGCCTGATGAGTAATAGATGGCGCGCGTAAATTTTTAAAAATTCTTGCGACGTTATAGAATTAAGATACAATTAATATAAAAAAGGTTTCGGTGGTGTAACTTAACGGAATATATATAATACTTACTTGTTATAGGAATTGAACTGATAGCTGCAAGGAGAAATCTAGAAACTTTAAAGTCAATAAACCACCGAACCACCGAAACTTTTCCAGTTTAATGCTTAGCAGTTGAACAGAACAAAAAAGAAATAAAAAACTTAAATATTTTATTAATATTTGCTTCGCTGTCTTAATTATAAGAAAAGAGAATCAAAAACAATAGTATAGTTATAAAATGTTTAAAAAAAATTTATTTAAACATTTTTATTAACGGTTTACTTTTTAACGTTTTTTTACAAACTCGATAAGAACATTTATTTTACGTTTTACAAAAAAATGTATAAACATTTTTATTGCAAGGTTATTAACATATTTTAAAGTTTTTTATGTAAGTTAGCGTTATATTAAACCAATTTAATTTGCGTTTTAATTTGATTTAAAACAAATTATGGGTGACAAGTCGGACAAGTATCGTCAAATAATTGCACCTGTTTTAAATACAACGGAAGGAGTTGTACGACGGACTAGAGTAAAAAGCCCGGTTTTAACCGATCCGTTTTATCCGACCGGTTTTAACCGATCCGTTTTATCCGACCGGTTTTAACCGATCTGTTTTATCCGACCAACCGCTTTTATCGGTTGTAACACCGATACTTTTTCAAACTGAAAAGCGGTTGGATGGGTAAAACAGATTGGTTTCTGATCAAATTATACCGTTGACGGATGGAATTCTTATAGTTACTGGGGGACGTTAAGGATTGTCGCAGGTTGTTATATAAACTGTTTTAACAGATAAATTTTAACAGGCCGGTTTTAACCGATCTGTTTTATCTGACCAACCGCTTTTATCGGTTGTAACACCGATACTTTTTCAAACTGAAAAGCGGTTGGATGGGTAAAACAGATTGGTTTCTGATCAAATTATACCGTTGACGGATGGAATTCTTATAGTTACTGGGGGACGTTAAGGATTGTCGCAGGTTGTTATATAAACTGTTTTAACAGATAAATTTTAACAGGCCGGTTTTAACCGATCTGTTTTATCTGACCAACCGCTTTTATCGGTTGTAACACCGATACTTTTTCAAACTGAAAAGCGGTTGGATGGGTAAAACAGATTGGTTTCTGATCAAATTATACCGTTGACGGATGGAATTCTTATAGTTACTGGGGGACGTTAAGGATTGTCGCAGGTTGTTATATAAACTGTTTTAACAGATAAATTTTAACAGGCCGGTTTTAACCGATCTGTTTTATCTGACCAACCGCTTTTATCGGTTGTAACACCGATACTTTTTCAAACTGAAAAGCGGTTGGATGGGTAAAACAGATTGGTTTCTGATCAAATTATACCGTTGACGGATGGAATTCTTATAGTTACTGGGGGACGTTAAGGATTGTCGCAGGTTGTTATATAAACTGTTTTAACAGATAAATTTTAACAGGCCGGTTTTAACCGATCTGTTTTATCTGACCAACCGCTTTTATCGGTTGTAACACCGATACTTTTTCAAACTGAAAAGCGGTTGGATGGGTAAAACAGATTGGTTTCTGATCAAATTATACCGTTGACGGATGGAATTCTTATAGNCCAGCAGTATGTTCACAGAACAATGTTTTAATTTTAAAAAAATTTTTATGTAAACAAAATTAAGTTATTTAAGTTGTAAATAAATAAATTTTTATAAAGTTGGTTGTCGTTTTATAATAATCAACACCTAATTCACATTTAATCATTTAGTTGTAAACTATCATACAGTGTAGACGTAAATTCATGAATCATGAAAGCAATAACTATCTTTCTCTGGACTTGTATGTGGACAGATACATTGGGAACGATAAGTGAACGTGATGAAGAAATTTATATGCTTCTCGATAAATATGGGTATATCGAACGAGAAACTAATGCGAGTCAAAGTGATTTAAATGCGGACCAACAAAGCTTATTGAATGAAGGTATATCTCGGTTTCAAAAATCATTTAATCTTCCAGTGACCGTTAAAATAGACTTTAGAACCGTAGATCTACTTGGTAAGCCTAGATGTGGTAATGAGGATTCTTTCGACTTCTGAAATCAGATGCTCAAAATCGAAAATGGAGTTCATTAAATATTAAATGGGGCATATACGGTGATTATCATCCAAACGGTCTTACCGCGATTGTGCAAAAAACGTTTAACGTTTGGTCTAAATTCGTAAATTTACATTTTAGGAGAGTAATATCAGCCGCTAACATTTTGATCGCTTTTAAATCGGGGAAACATGAACTTATTAGAAATGATAAAGCATCATGTTTAGGTCGCTTAGATGGTATGGGAGGAATTCTTGCGCACGCCGATTATCCTGACATTAACAAAAACCCAATTGAAGTTCATTTAGATAAAGATGAGGATTGGGATTTAACTACTACCACATTGTCAGGCAAAACTAATCTATTCCTAGTTCTGGTACATGAAATAGGACATGCATTAGGATTAGATCATAATAATGAGTTTGATTCTATCATGTTTCCCAGTTATGGATTCCTTCATATTGAAAATTTTACATTAAGTCAGAATGACATTCATGCGATACAGAAAATTTATGGGAATTCAACTTACACACATAAAGTATCTACTACTACTACGTCAAAACCTACACCCAAAATTGAAACCACAACGTTAAAATCTACGTCTAAAATTGAAACTACATCCCATGAAACTATAGCTCCCTTCGCCTTATCTCACATCTGTGATATTGATGACAAGTTTTCAGGATTCTTAATATATAAAAAAATAATTTATATACTTTATAAACAATGGGTTTGGTCAATTGATTTAAAATCTAAAATGCCAGTTCGTTCTACACCTATAAACATAATTGATTGGTTAAAACCTTTGAGAGGTGTTTTAGAAGCTACGAATTATAATTATAAGGTTTCTTTTGGTTCTAATGATAACCTTATAGTTATTATAAATCATTCAATTTATATAATTGAACTTAGGAGTATGTCGATACGTCACAAATGGGATTTTGAAGCAACTGGTTTGGGATTTAACAATCATACTAATATTACAGGAGTTGTGACAAGTAATTACGGATCACCTTTTATATTCTTCGATGGTGTCTATGCTGTTCAAGTGGATTATCAATATGTTAAAACACGACAACTTATAACGTCAGTTGCTGATGAGTTTCCAGGGATACCGAGTCATTTTGATGGTGTTTATAAATCTTCAGATGGTTTATTGAATTTTTTTGTTGGTAATAAAATAGTTCGATATAATGAATATTTAAGAGAGACTGTGGATACCGTAGATAAAAGTCTATCAATATTAGGTATATCTTGTCCCTATACATCTATAATAGATCAACTAAAATTTCTATTATCAAAAATAAGTTCATCATCTAAAATATCTGTACCTTGGTAAAGTTGTAAAATCCCCCATTCTTATTTAATATTAGATATAGGGTACATGTTTATGTGTAAATTTCATTTTAACTAGTATATAACATCCTCTGAAACATGAGTGTCGACGGTGTAAGTTTAGATTTTTGGGAATTAATTGACAAACTGTGGATACAATTCAAAGAGGATCTAAAGAAAGAAATTAAACTTATTGATGAAAGTGTATTTTCTGTAGGTGAATTTAACATTAAAGTTGGTATTAGTGTTGTTAGAGGTTTTATACCATGTGTAGAGTTAATTTTTAAATCGTGTAATGACGAGTTAAACAAAATTTGTCTTCACCATGAAGATTGGGAACGTTTAATTTATATATTCAAACAATTTTACTTCGACAAGGAGGTGATTTCAAGTTACACAATACCTTTAGCGGAAGGAATTTTAAATATTACCCGCGTGAGTGAGAACGTACTATGTATTAGATGTGAAGACTTCGATGTTGATGGAAATTTGAGAACCTCTTTGATACCTATTGTAATTGTTATGTCGGAAGTTCATTATATTTTATATTTATATTGTTTAATTTCATATAGATTAAGTATATTAAATAAATATTATGTTAAAAATCTTATTTAAATAAATTTATTTTAATTTCAAATACTTTACATTTTTTTTTAACAAAAATAACGCTAACTTACGTAAGCAACTTTGTGGTGACTTTGAGTATTGAGCTTGCTTTGATAATGAATATTTAAACGTAAATTCATGACTTTAAATTCACTTTAATAATAAATTCAAACGAATTCATTAAATCATAGTGTTTGTTTGCGAGTTATGTAATAACCGCGGTAAATTTCCACCGTATTGACGATAAGACGTAAATTCATGACTTTTAATTCACTTTAGTAATAACTTCAAACGAATTTATTAAACTACAGTGTTCGTTTGCGAGTTACGTAACGCAAATCCCCACCTCTTAAGAGCGATGAATTATCATCGTTATCTTATAGTTTTCAATAGTTCTCCAGCGTGTTAAGACACAAAAATGTTTATCTGCGAACTCTGCCAGTCATCTTTTTCGTTTAAACATAATCTTGACCGACATATACGAACAATACATAATCAACCCAAATTCGATTGTTCGATATGCGGGAAATATTTTTCAAGGAGTGATAAATTGAACGCACATCAACGATCGTTTCATGGATTGTCAATTATGTCTAAACGTCAAGTACCACCATCATCAACAGTAGTATAATAATGAGAGTTCTGGAGCGGAAGTTGCTCCCTGTGCTCCCTGCTCCCTGCGCATGCGCAGGAAGTGACGTCACAGCGCGGGAAATTTGGTGGGAAATTTGAAATTCAAAATTCATGTGACGCCATCTGGTGGTGTGTAGAGAAACTAAAAAGGAGTTGTTTACCTGATGGGTGAT